AACTAATAAATGAATTTGGCAAGATTCAATATATAAAACTCAGTTGTATTTCCATACTCTAACAATTTACAATCCAAAAATTAATTAAGAGAACAATTTCATTTACAATAGTATCAAAAAATATTGTGTGATCAAGAAAGTACCAGACTTACACACTGAAAATTATAAAACATTGAAAAAATTATACAAAACCCAAATAAATGAAAGATGGCTCATTTTCATGGATTGGAAAACTTAATGTTATTGGAATGGCAATACTTCCCAAATAATCTACATAGTCAATCAACCTCTATCAAAATTCCAAGCACTTTTTATCTTTTTGCAGGAATGGAAATGTTGATCCTAATATTCATATGGAAATGCATGGAATCTAAAATAACCAAAGTTATTTGAAAAATAAAAACTTGGAGTACTTACATCTTTCAATTTCAAAACTTAAAGATACAATAATCAAAACTATGTGGTACTGGCATGAGAACAGACATATAGATCAATGCAATAGAATTTTTATTGTGGAAATAAACTTTTATATCTATTATCATTTAATTTTTGACAGGAGTACCAAGACCATTCACTGGAGAAACAACAGTCTTTTCAACAAATGGTGCTGTGATAACTGGATATTCACATGCAAAGGAATGAACTTGTACCCCCTACCTCATATCTTACACTAAAAATAACTCCAAATAGAATAAAGATATAAATATAAAAATTAAAACTATAAAATTCTTAGAAGAAAACATAGGGTTAAATCTTCATGATCTTGGATTTGACAAAGGATTCTTAGATATGACAACAAAAACATGATCAACAAAATAAATAGACAAATTACACTTTCTCATAATTAAAAACCTTTGGGCATCAAAGTACAAAATCAAAAACTGAAATGAAAATCCATAGAATGGAAAAATATTTTCAAATTATACACTTGATAATGAATTTGTATCCATAATATATGAAGAACTTTTACAACATAATAAAAATGAGAATAACCCAAACAAAAATGAGAAAGGATCTGGATAGACATTTCTTGAAGAAGATATACAAAGAGGCAAAAAGCACATGAAAAGATGCTCAACATCATTAGTCATCAGGCAAGTACAAATCAAAGCCATGACAAGATACCCCTTCTTACCCACTAGGTTGTTAGAATAACAAAATTCAGATAATAGTAAGTATTGGTAAGGATTTGCAGAAATCTGAACCCTCGTACACTGACGGTGCAAACGTAAAATTGGGCAGCCTCTTTGGAAAATGGTGGCAATTCCTCAGATGATTCAACCTAGGGTTGCCATATGACCCAGCATATACCCAAAGGAGTTGAAAACATATATCCACACAGTAACTCATATGTGAGTATAGCATTGTTCATAGTAGCTAAAAGGTATAACCAACCTAAATGTCCATCAATGGATAAATGGATAAACAATATGTGGTATGTTCATATGATGGATATTATTCAGCCATAAAAAAGAAGTGCTGATACATACTAAAAGTTGAGTTGGATGAACCATAAAAATATGGTAAGTAAAATAAATCAGTCACAAAAAAAACACATATTATATGAATTTGATTCATTAGAAGTGCAGAATAGGGAACTCTTCAGAGATAGAAAGTAGATTAGTTACTGCTTAGTGCTGGTGGGTGCAAATGGGGTGGGTGGGGTTAGAGGGATGAGAGGCAAAGGGCATGTTTTTTTTTCTGAGATGATGAAATATTCTAGAATTGATTGTGTTACTGGCTGCACATATCTATGAATATACTAAAATCCACTGAATGGTACACTTTAAATGGATGAATTGTATATGTGGATTATATCTCAATACAGTTTAAAAATAAAATCAAATTTCAAAAAGGAATAAATGAAGTACAATACATGCTATAGTATGATGAACCCAGAAAACATTATGCTAAGTGAAAGATATCAGACACAAAAGGCCACATATCGCATGATTCCATTTCTATGAAATGTCCAGAATAGGTAAATTCAGAGATGAAAAATAGAGTAATGTTCCTCAGGGACTATGGGGAGGGAGTAATGAGGAGTGAGTGCTTAACTGGCATGGGGTTTCTTTTTGAAATGATGAAAATATTAGGGAATTGGTGGTGATAGTTGCATGACATTGTAAATATACTAGAACCAATGAATTCTACTTTTTAAAATACTTAAAATGGTAAATTTTCTACTAGGTGAATTTTTCTCAAAACAAATTCTTTTTTTCATATGAATGTGTTGGTTCTACTTGACCTGAAGTCACTTTGCCTGCAATCGACGAGGGACTGCAGCCATTCATCATGACTGTGAGAAATCAGCCAGCAGCAACCCCTTCAATGTCTTGGCATTCACTACTCCTTTCCCTGGATGAGCTTTCCCTGCCTTTCTCCCTTCAAATGCTATCCATCCTTCAATATGCGGCTCAAATGTTATTTCCTCCATGAAGTTGCTCACAATTTCCCATATTGGAGCGCATCTTTCTCCTCTGCATGGTCCTCGCACATTGTGGGCACTGCTGATCTTGCACTTAATGCATACTTATAGCTCCTGTACACACTTGTCTCCCATGTTAGGTGTAAATTCCTTTAAGTGCAGAATAAGTTGTAAATCTTCCTCAAGGTCAAATGCAATGCCTGACACTCAGAGTCACCTTCAAATTAAATTAAAGCAATAAAGATAATTCTTCTGAAGCCCATTTCCGTTATGCACCTCCACACAAACAATTGTGCTAATATTCCTCAGAATGCAATGGATTTGTACAACACAACTTGAGAGTAAGATATTCTTTCAGTATTCAGTCACTAAAGAAATTTCTCAGGACTTCCAGCAAGATGGAGGCATAGATGGATGCACCGTACCTCCACGCACAACCAAGATTAGAACAACAACAATTTAGAGGCAGAATAACACCAGAACTGACAGAGAATTTATCTGAATGGAAGTCGGACAGCCAAGAATTTGAAATAGACCCATTCATCAAGACCGGTAGGAGGGGCGAAGATGAGCAGCGAAGATGAGGTGCGGGTCGCGGCACACGGAGAAAAGGGAGAGTTGGGTGCAGAAGGCAACCGGGAGTGTGTAAGGCACTTGGGGCGCACAATATCGCAGCGGGTGGACCCTGAGTACGCAAGTGGCAGCTGGTGGACCCAGTGAGGCGGCGATTATGGACCAGGGCAGAGAGAGCAACCCAGGAACCCAGAGAAGGGACTGAGGTCCAATGGAGAACGGAGCTACCGCCATTGTTCCCTCCCGCCCCCGCCCCCACATACAACGTCACAATCTAGCAACTGGGGTGCCCAGCCCTGGTGAGCCCCTAAGGCTCTACCCCTCACCGTAACAGGAGCGACCAGACCAAAAAAAAAAAACAAAACAAAAGAGAGAGAGAGAGACATGTCTCAAATAGAAGAACATATCAATGCCCCCAGGACTCATCCTTTTGACCGACCAAGAGATAGCCAATCTATCAGATGCACAGTTCAAAACACTGGTGATCAGGAAGCTCACAGAATTGGTTGATTTTGGGTGCAAATTACATGAAAAAATGCAGGTTACCATAAAAGAGATGAAGGAAGATGCACGGAGAGCCAATAGTGATGGGAAGGAAACTGGGACTCAAAACAATAGAGTGGACCAGAAAGAAGAAAAAAACAACCAAATAGGAAAGAATGGAGAAATAAGAATTCAAAAAAGCGAGGAGAAGCTTAGGAACCTCCAGGACATCTTTCAATGTTCCAACATCCGAATTATAGGGGTACCAGAAGGGGAAGAGGAAAAGCAACAGATTGAACATGTATTTGAACAATGAACATGTATTTGAACAAATAATAAAGGAGAACTTCCCCATTCTGGCAAAGGAAATAGACTTCCAGGAAATCCAGGAAGCTCAGAGAGCCCCAAAGAAGTTGGACCCAAGAAGAAACACACCAAGGCACATCATAATTACATTGCCAAGGTAAAAATGAAGGAGAGAATCCTAGAAGCAGCAAGAGATAAGGGGACAGTAACCTACAAAGGAGTAACCATCAGACTGTCAGCTGATTTCTCAAAAGAGACCTTACAGGCAAGAAGGGGCTGGAAAGAAGTATTCCAAGTCATGAAAGACAAGGACCTATATCCCAGATTACTCTATCCAGCAAAGCTGTCATTTAGAATGGAAGGGCAGATAAAGTGCTTATCAGATAAGGTCAAGTTAAAGGAGTTCATCATCACCAAGCCCTTATTTTATGAAATGTTAAAGGGACTTATCTAAGAAAAGAAGATAAAGAAAAAACATGTATAGTAAAAGGACAGCAAACTCACAATTACTAACAACCACAACTAAAGCAAAACCAAAACAAACTAAGCAAACAACTAGAACAGGAACAGAACCACAGAAATGGAGATCACATGGAGGGTTAGCAACAGGGGAGGGGGAGGAGGAGAGAAGGGGAAAAGGTACAAAGAATAAGTAGCATAGACTGTAGGTTGAAAATAGGAGGAGGGTAAGAATAGTGTGGGAAATGTAGAAGCTAAAGAACTTATAAGTATGACACATGGACATGACTAAAGGGGGAAATATGGGTGGAAGAGGGTGTTCAGGGTGGAGGGGAGTGAAGGGGGCAAAATGGGACAACTGTAATAGCATAATCAATAAAATATAGTAAAAAAAGAAATTTCTCTACTTATTATATATACTGCATATTGGAATCTTATATCTAGTTCACAGGGACTAAAACATCAACTTTCAGCTTTTGTGAGAACCATTCTATCTTTAAGTACTTAACAGAATAAAATAGTAAATAATCTTCATGAAAGAGATATTTCAAGAACCTCAACCAAGAAAGAACAATAAGATAAAAAAGACGACAGTTCTCTGCCATGGATAGAATTTTCATAATGTTTAGTCACAAGACTGACACTGTGAGAATACAAAATATTTGGTTCTCGGATACAATATTTGGTTCTTGCTCCGAGAAATAGAAATCTGGGTAGTAACACTATTTGCACCCTTATTTGTTGTCATTACCTCTCGTTCTATGGTTTTCCTCCTCAGCAACTTTTTGACACTTGGGAGTTGCTTCTTTAATAACATCGTGGCTTCATTCATTCTTCTGACTTGAGTGATTAAGAAAGATGGGACCTGGAGAAGAAAAATAGCTTGACTAGAAGGAAAACACCTGAATTAAACCACCCAGGTAGATCCTGTCTTTGGATATGGTAACTCCTAGCCACCTAGTATCCTGCAACTTTGGCATTTGTCCTTGTAAAAATCGGAAAAAAACTATTAGGATTCATACTTAAAAGAGAGAGCATATTCAGGAACAGGCCCTAAAGTGTATAAAGATGCCCCAGGCAACCTGGAATTATATTCTCATATTTTCTCCCTGTGACTGCAGGCATTACTTGTGCACAGAGCCTTTATGTTTTCCTGGTGCTGGTAGACTTCAAAGGAGCATGTCCATCTTCACACTGGAACTCACCTTCCATAGCATTTTCTGGTAGGTAAGCATTAAGCGGATGATGTGGGCTGCAGTGTTTGCTAACCGCAATTCTTCATAATCAGAATGTTTGCTTCTACTGAAGAAAAGGTTTGGTGCCATTACAGTTGAAATGTTCCATATACTCATTCGGTTTTTTGATTCATTGGCAATCACTTTATTAAAGAATGTCATGAGGGCCTAAAAAAGAAAGAGCACTATGTCACAGCGCTGTGAATTATCAGAATGCATCACTGATTGATGACATTTATTTCTATAACCACTCACTGTGCCTCTGGAAAACAGCCAGAACGCTGTTAGAAGTACAGAATGGTTAAATGTCACAGTCCCCTTTACTTGCTTAAAAGTGCTAATGAGAAATGTGGACAGTTGTTATGGAGTTTATTATATTGGAGTCTCTATAAATAATACTTTGCGTTTTCTTACTTTCTTTTATCCTAAATAAGTTTGACAAATATTAAAATTAAATAGCAAACTAGGAAGAGAAAATGCATCTCAAAAAATGTAATGCATTTTTATTATGAAGAAGGTAATTCTAGAAAACACCCTTAATTTAAAGCATTACTATTAAAAACTATTTACTGTTTCCTTGTGAATGGGAAACTCATTTCTTAAATAAATGAGTATCTTATTCCTTAGCCTAAATGTAAATAAAATTGAAAAAAATTAATTTTACTTTTTGGGTATGATTTTTCTGCTGCTTTTCAATTTTTGAATCTTCAATATACTGAAGGGAAATGCTTACATGCAGCGGTTAACAATATCAAATAAAAAAAGATTTGAGAAAGCTTAATAAAAGTTTGGCTATGCCACCAAAGTATAAATGCTTATTAGATATTCTGAAATTCACCAAGAAGACCAAAACCATAAAAGGAGATGCTCTTTAATTCCACAAGTTAAATTTGGGGAATTCTGCCAAATTTATACTGATACAGTATTTATAATGAGAAAATGGACAGCACATAATAGTAATAATAGCATTCATCTGAGGGTTTATTGTGAGCTAGGCATTATTCTTAGTAATATATATATCTCCACTGATTTTATCATTATTACAAATTCTGTGAGGTAGGTACTACTAGTAAGCTGTATGGATGGGAAACTAAGGTGTAGAGGGACAGATTGCTTTGTCAAACATCAGATTATTAAGTGGCAAAGCCAGGATTTGAACTGAGGAAACTGGATTCTTGAGCCAGAGCTCCTGATTGCTATACCACACCAACTTCTATCTTGGTTCCAGTTGAAAGTTAGGATGGGGGAGATGGAGGGAGGGAGGGAGGGAGAGAAGGAAGGAGGGAAGGAGGTTAGGGAAGGAGGGGGGAGAGAGAGAGAAAGAGAGAAAGGGAGAGAGAGAGAGAGAGAGAGAGATTTTTTCACAAGTTTCATAATGTTTTTTGAGGATATTCTGTTAGAAATATATCGAATTTTTTGATAATTGCTGCATCCTCAGTTATATAAAAGGATAGTGACATGTTGACCAAAATATGTTATACCAGACACATTTTTTTTTGGATAAAAGATTATTTAGACAGAGCCAAAAATAAACTAATAAATTCCAGTTTTTGAAAAGTTACCAAACTGTATTAGAGAAAGATTCTTATGCTATAGTCAACCCCATCCCTGGATTGAGGATATAGTATAACTGACATAAGCTATAATTAACACAGTTGTTTTCACTATGTAGGAGAAAAGTCCTCACCAAAATGAATTATCTGATATGAGGTAGCATTAAGAATCATTTCTTTTTTTAGCTTTATGTTTACTGACCTCAAAACTACTGGCTCCTTGTAACTTATTCTTACCTCATTTCAAAGATTCTCAACTCCTATTGTACTTAAAACAAATTTCCTGTTGTTACAGAATTACTATGAAGATAGCAAGATAAACTTTGATATTTACCAAGATACAGCAAAGAGATGAATATGAAATAAAGGGAAGGATATTTGGGATGAAGAATTATGGAATAGGATTCTACCCAATGTTCTCTTATATGTTAAAGGAGAAATTATTTTTCTGAGCTTAATTTTCCTAATCTATAAAGTAATAAGATCCTATCAGGTAATCTCTAAAATTCAGAGATTGTAGAATTCTTTACATTGAATTGAATTCATAAATTGTAAGGCATGAACATTTAAAAAAATTTATTTAAATCAGTGATTTCAAATTTTCTCCCCACAGACACTCATCAGATATTTGCTACTAGACTCAAGTGGGCAGCTGAGGACCGACAATTACAGCGTTTTATATTTACAACTTATATAACGTTTTCACATTATTCTGACATTATTCCATTTACGTCTTCCATCTTTGCTTTTCCTGCTCCTAACCCTAGCCAGTGCCTGGCATGTGGTGGACACTCAATATCTCTGGATGGATTGAATGAATGCAACTGAAATGTTCAAAGAAGACTCCAGGATTTACATTCTTTGCTGTCTTCTACGGATGGCGATGGGAACACTGAAAGGAACAGGAAGCAGCATGCTCAGCTGGCTTAGTGGGCTGCCATCTTGTTTTTCACTTTTCCACCTGAGCCATTTCCTCTGACCAATAAGAGCCAATGACAAACCATGAGGTCAACACAACATACCTGGGCTGTGTCCCTGTTGGCATCAGGCAGTGCCATGACCATGAGATGTAAGGCTTGAAACTGTACTTTGATGTGAGGCCCTCCTAACAAGAAAACAGAAATAACCACACGTTTGGAACACCACTGATGTATTCTGGCAGCATTCCTTGATAACACCTGGCAGCATGGGAGGGCTCCTGACTGCTCCCCGTGGTAAGGACTCAGTTGTTGTGCCCAACAACGGGCATTCGTTTGCTTGGACAGTCTATCAACCCCCCCTTCCACATCCCATGGTGCCATTGTAGAGGCAGGTGGCCAAGAAGATCCTCAAAATAATTCTGGAATTGTGTAACATTTTCCTTTTCAAAGTACTTTTACATACCTTACTTTACTTTTATGCTATAAACAGAAGGCTTGAAGCTCAATTCAAGAGAAAATAAACCTTGCTTCCACATAAAGCCACAACAAAGTAGAATTATTAGGAGCATAACCAGATTCAAATACTACTTAGTCACTGAGTGACCTCAAGCAGACTATTTAACTCTTTGTTGCTTCTATGTTATCTTTGCAAAATGGGATTAGTCATTTTACCTACCTCACTGGGCTAATATAAAATTTATATGACTTAAAACTTACAATGGATTAAAGACTTGAATGTTAGACCTGGAACCATAAAACTCCTAGGAGAAAACATGGCAGTAATGTCCTTGACAAAGGTCTTAGTGACAAACTTTTGAATCTGATGCCAAAATCAAAGAAACAGAAAGAAAAATTAACAAGTAGGGCTATATCAAACTAAAGAGTATATGCACAGGAAAGAGTACCATCAAGCCCTGGCTGGCGTAGCTCAGTGGATGGAGCGCGGGCTGGGAACCAAAGTGTCCCAGGTTCGATTCCCAGCCAGGGTACATGCCTGGGTTGCGGGCCATGACCCCCAGCAACCGCACATTGATGTTTCTCTCTCTCTCTCTCTCTCTCTCTCTCTCTCTCTCTCTCTCTCTCTCTCTCTCTCTCTCTCCCTCCCTTCCCTCTCTAAAAATAAATAAATAAAATCTTAAAAAAAAAAGATCCTGCTTTAAAAAAAAAAAAGAGTACCATCAACAGAATAAAAAGGCAGACTGCTGAATGCAAGATATATCTGCAAATCTTATATGTGATAAGAGGCTAATATCTAAAACATATAAAGAACTCATACAACCCAACAGCCAAAAACTCCGAACAGTCTGGTTTTAAAATGTGCAGAACAGACATCTGAATGTTTTTCAGAGAAGACATACAGGAGGCCAACTGGTACACCAAAAGATGCTCACCATCATTAATAATCAAGGAAATGCAAATCAAAACCACAATGAAATATTACCTCACACTTGTAAGAACAGATATTATCAAAAAGGCAAGAAATAACAAGTGTTGGCAGGGGTGTGGAGAAAAGGGAACCCTCATACACTGCTGGTGGGAATGTAAATTCCTACAGCCACTATAGAAAACAGTAAGGAGGTGCCTCAAAAAATTAAAAATAGATTTATCATGTGATCCAGCAATTCCACTTTTGGGTATTTATCTGAAGAAAATGAAACACTAACTCAAAACACATATGCACCTGAGTGTTTACTGAAGCATTATTTATAATAGCAAAGATGTAGAAACAATTAAGTGTCCATTTATAGGTGAAAGGAAAAAGAAAATGTGCTATACGCACACACACACACATACAATGGAATATCATTCAGCCATAAAAATCAAAATCTTGCCATTTGCAATAACACGGATGGACCTTGAGGGCATTATGATAAGTGAAAAAAGTCAGATAAAGAAAGACTAATACCATCTGGTCTCTTATCTGTGGGATCTAAATATAAAAAAATACCCCTCCAAACCCCCCACCCCTAAAGCCCCACAACCAAGTTCATAGATACAGAGGACAGATTAAAAGAAAAAAAAATCCTGAAACCTACTTAAGGCTTTGTGATTTGGACAATTATATAAAATCCATTTGTAAATGCTCAAGTTATCCTTGAAGTGGGGTGTGAATTATGCCCTACATTTATAGTTTTTCCTAGGTTGTGAGAGTTACAGAAATTGCAAGATTTGGTCACCTGTTGAGGTCTTTGGGGACATTTCCCACCAATAATTTTGCAAAGTTTGGACCACTTTGCCTTTGCCATTGTGGGTGCTTTATGTAGCATGTGCTCTAAAGTTCTGGACTTTCACTTGGGTGCCACTGAGTAAACACTTTGGGAGCATCCAAATCCATTGCTGGATGAGGGACAGTGCTAAGATATCATCTTCTTCTTTTTTAATGTAGAGATGGATTATTTTATTTGCATTAGTACTTTGTATTCAAATATGGATTCATGAAATCAGAGAGGACACCTTCTTTAAACACCAAGGGAAACAAAATCAGTAAAAAGTGCTTAGATGAATAAACCCCTTTAGCTTCTGAAATGTGGGCTCTATTTCATAGCTAAGACTTCCTTCCTATGTTGGACTGCCTCTAAAGCTCATTTTTGTTTCTTCTTCACATAGAAGTGATTTGGGAACTTAGAAATCTCTTCGTTTTTTCATATCATGCCTGTAGTGGTGCATGGTACATGATGCCTGCATTGCCCCTTCCTGAACGCAGAACCTGGTCCCTCAGCTGTCAGCTCTTCCTAGAAACGGCTCTCTCCAGTTACTTCGCCTGAGGTCATGCTGTCCTCTCAGGTACAGTATATATCCAATGATGGCCTGAGTCAGAGTAAAAATGCCCAACCTTCTCCCTGTATGGGAAACAATGAAAGGCCACCAAGCTTCAGAGTTCCCCCCAGGGTTGCAGGTGGTCTGGGCTGAGACTGCATCACTCATTGCCAACCTTATCCTCTGCCCAATTCTTCTTCCTTTCCCCTTCCCTTTCAGAAGTGGGGAACCCAAGTGGATGCCCGAATAAACGTTCTAAACAAACTAATATCGGTCTTCAACGCTGTTTCTGGGAAACACAACATAGCTTCAATCATGAGCAACCTTCTGTGGCATATTAGCAGCAAAGATGATACCTTAAAACTTTAAATAAGGTAGCTTCTGTAAACAGAGTGCCTGGCATTAAAAAAAAAGACAAAGATTAAATGAGTTAATATGTGTAGAATGTTCCCATCTGTACCTGTAAGTAGTTACCTCTATGTGTGTTTGCTCTTGCTATGATTAAATGACACATTCTAGATCTTAAATGGACATTTAAGGAAGGTGATCCTAGTGGGATCTCTGGAGATTGTTGATCCTTTATTCCTTGACAATCACAGAAGATGGCGCCAGAGGGTTGGCATTTATACTTGTGTTCTCAAAGCTGGCTTTTTTTCCCTCATCAAGAAAAGGATTTTTGCAATTCCATTAACAACTGGATAATCCACAACCATCTGTGCTGAAAAATGTATTTACTACAGCATCCAGGTTTTGCTTTGTCTCTCTGTAGTTTCCTCAAAATGGTCTCTTAGTGGGGAGTTCCTGGAGGGAAGCATTATGTTCTAGAATCCCTGGGGAGTTCTCAAGTTGAAGAAAAATCTCCCTCTTCCATGGATGAAAGGCAGTCAGCTGCTTACAAAGTTACTGAGCTTTACCGTACTGGAAACACTCCCATGACAAGCTGCTTGTTAGAGGAGGTTATGTGCACCCGAGTTAGGCGTGAATGACTAATGTTTGTAAGCACAGAATGAAGGAAGAGTTAGAAGGAGTATTTATAGGGCTGCATCATATCGTTTCAGCACAATCCCCATGGAGATTTCTAGAAATTTATGTCAAATTTGTAAAGCAAAATGACACAGGTCCAGGGTATTTTTGAAAACAGCTAATGCACGTTGACATGAGTTTGACTGGATAACAGCCTAACAGGAGCACATCGCAGGACAAGTATTTAGCAGAGAGAAAGCATTACTTTTATGAGTAAACTGCAGGCTACAGGCTGCCTGTAACCTTCCAATGCAACCTCCCCAGACTCCCAAAAACCCTCTGGTGCAGGGAGATAATAGATGCAGATGCAGAGCCTATACTTCCATCAATTTCAGAGAAACCATAAAGTTTGTGTTAAGGCTAAAAATCTAAACTGGCAAAGAGTCCATTTTTATTTTATTTAGGAAACCTGGCCCTACAGTGTTTTGTGGTTGATAGTATTTTCAGTTATTGTTAACGCTTTTTTGTCCTGAGGTCATTATTTCCTCAGAAAGGTATTAAACTTTTCATGAAAATATCTAAGGTTTGATTGATGAAATGTTAGTCTTTTAGTTTCACGGGTAACTTTTGGGCCAAGTTTGAAAAGAGAAATAATTACACTAGTGGAAATGACTCTATATCCTCCAAACTCTGTTCCAGAGTATAAAAAAGGGTAGTTTAAACATACTTACCCACATGTCTACAAGTCTTCCCTTTGGAAAATCTCTTACAACTACAGCTTATTCTAAATGGTAAAAGGGCTGTTTTTCCTGCAGGTAACAGCCCTGAACTTTGGGCTTCCTGTGGGGTTGGCTGGTTTCAAATCAATCACTGCAATACCGTATTTCTCACTTTCAAAGTCATGCAAAGAAATGTGGAATCCTCTGTGAACCTTCTCAGGATATTTCCCAGATTCCCTCTCTTAACTGAAGTGTGCTGGCCGCTGTGGGAGAGGGAACAATAAAGCCGAGTGGCGGCCACCGCTTTATTTGGGGGTGTCCTCCGAAGCTGCCCACAGCCTTTTCTGTGCATACGGAATCACCCTGTACTTAGCAAGCTTGTACACTCGGTCCTCGAGTAACACCCTCTCATTCAACATTGTTTCCGTATAATGTTGATGCAATGCTCTAGGAGTTTAACTCTCGTTTATATCAGTTAGCCTGTGGTAAAATTGGTTTCCTTATAATTGTTTTGCTTAAAGTGGCAGAATCTATCAATGACTTGTTTAAGTCTGTGATCCCTGAACTCCTCAGGTTAGTAGTGAATGCCTCTGCTCTCTAGCTCCATTCTACTTTTCTCGATTTCTCTCTTGCCGCACCCTCCAAAACATTCATCCCTGAGGCTGAACCGTGACAAATGACGCCTTTGCTGCTAAATACAATATGCACTTTCCACCACTATACTTTTTACTGAATTCCATCACTTAAGGGCTAATCTATGTGAATTTGTAATTTTCAAAAACACTATGTAATGTTACAATTTTCAGAGACTAAACACCTTCTGTGTAACATTTAATATGTGCTCCATCATCAGCACAGGACCTCAGGTTTAAAGAAAAGAGGTCTTATATTTTTGTCAAGGATTATTACACACAAGGCACTATTCTAGGTGCTTTCACTCAACGACAGCTCCGATGCACAGCTATTAACTGTAAGTTACAGGCACAGCTCAGAAAAGGTTCACTGCGTGGCTAACGGATGGTTGAGCAGGAATTTAAATCTCAAGAGTCTATCCTTTGTGCAAACCCCTCTGTCTTTTAATGATCATAAAACCCTTTAAATTTTATCTACCAGACTTAGATATATAAATATGTAAAGAGGTGGCTGTTTACCAGCAAACACAATATTCCACCAAGCCTTGCCGGGAAAGAGCAAATACACACTTCTGGTCCCATTTCATCGTGCACTTTCTTCCACTCTGTGTCAGCTTATTGACCTTATATCAGCCCATTCAGACTTAACATTTTCCACATACTTTCCATTAGCGTGATGAAGGCAGGTATGTATTCCACAGGGAAGAGAGAAGTGGGTAATTCTCTGAAAAAGGCTTTCAACATCACTGCAGCTTCTCTGTGGCACATTTTGTCCCATTTAAATTTGTCAGCATTAAACTTGGCATCCAGTTCTTCACGGTATTGCTGAAAGTCAAGGAAAACAGACAATATTTAATGAGCTTTGACTACCTGACATCACCTTTGAAAGCTGTCATTACACAAACGATTAAAAAGCCAATCTCCACTAAGCCTAACTTTTCAAAAGGCGAGTAAAGAACTGATAGTTATTTTTTGAATTAACTTTTAAAAATGGGTTTTCTAAAATCTTTTTAGGACAACGCTAATCTTGAAATCACTTGCTAATTCTACACAAATACAGGAGCTCTTTACTGCGGTCACAGTTTTATCTGTGCAGCTTTGACAGAACGCCACCTGTCTGCACATGACAGTTCACTGTCCGATTCTGACGAAGCTTCCATTTCTCTGCTATCCATGATCCCTTCCTTTTGTCATCCCTTTCTAAATGAGATCATGAATGTATGCCTCTCAGCTAGTTCACATCCAGAATGAGAAATACCCCAGTAAAGAAACTCTGATCTCATCGCAACATGAAAACCAACAACATCTCCCTGGAGCAGTTACGGCAGTTTTATGCCAAGACATACACATGCCCTCCACATGTTTGCATACTTGTCCAATCTTTCGTAAGGTTCAGAACACCGTGTAAATACTTAAAAATCCACTAAGCCCCCATAAGTGCTATTTATGTTATACACTTTACATTATCAATTCATTTCACTGTCAGTGCCACCTATTATCCATGTTTCTATTTCAAAGTCAAACTCACTTTTTCTTGCTCTCTTGAACTACAGATTCTACTATTAATAGCAGGTAGTTATTAGGTCAGTTACTTGATTGACCCTGACTGCTCCAAAAAGGAAACTTAGAAAGACAGCTTGGAAAACTCCCCATTTCTTTAAGTCCCCTGCTTTATTCCCATAAGAAGCCTATTTCCTCTAGCCTTAAACACGCATCATTTTCACATCTGACTTCTTCCTTCCAAGGAGCAGCTCATTAACCACCCTAGAAATAAACACCCTCATGGCTCCCAAAGCCTGCAAAACAGGGGTGCCCTGGGAGGACACATCTTTTAGAGAAAGACAGACATGATTTTAAGCCATCCTTCGATGGCATCAAAGGGTTGTTCTTCTTGTCCTTGAGAGGCTCTCAACATACAGCTTATCAATCAACTCTTTGCTGATACACTTAGTAAGAGCATTGAAGCATACACACAAAACTCTTCCTAGAATAAAAAAGCATAGACTGGGATCTAAGGAAAGGAGGATGCATGAGATCCATCTTGTAGTCCAATGGATATAAGTGTTTCATTAGTCATAATGCTAATTTAGGGCACTAAATACTGTAAGAAAGTATTTATTGAATGCTATGCAGTCCTGAAGGAAAATTGAACTCTGCCAGGGCAAAGTCTTGAGGACCACTGAGGAGTTGCCAGGGGAAGAGGAAATATAAGGGTGTCCTAGACAGAAGAAACTGTTTAAGCAGTGATACAAATCAAGGAGGCCCAGTAGGTCTGGGGAACTCCAACTAGTTCAGTGTTGCTGGTGCATCACAGGCAAGGAGGAAAATCAAGAGAAAGATGAGACTGAGGAACAGACCAGAGGCAACTGGACTTCATTCTGTAGGCAGTGCAACAACATGGAATGTTTCCAAACAAGAGAAGGACATGGTGACATTTATCTTTTCTTACAGCTAGATGCAAAAGTGATTTGGAGAAGTGAGGTTCTTGGCACTGGTTAAGGAGCAGGCTAGAGGCAAGGAAATAAGTTGTTGGACCATGGCACCATTTCTAGTGATGGATAATCAAATACTAACCTGGATGGATAAGCAGTTGTGAGAAAGGAAGAATTAAAATACATCATTGAGGGAAAGTTCTCAAAAATAAAAGATGATTATGGAGCTACTCCAAAAGAACATAGATGAAGGATTCCATCTTGGCACACTCCCCATTACCTTGCTCCAGCTCACTGGTATCTCACAGAAAAGAGCTTATATACTCGTCTAGAGCCCCAGTTAGTGCAACTGATGAGAAGTAAATACTGCCAGATCACCTGGCCAGCAGGGCTTAAGATTTCAGTCCCAAAGGATATATTTGCATATTTTAAAAAGCTGCTACCTGAAGGTCTGGCTTTCAAACAGCCTGAATCTAGGTGCTTAGATCCTGCCCTTAGGGACATTGGCAGGTCCTCAACCACTGGGAGCTTTCAAAAATATAACAAGCTATTTGGAGAAGTACAAAGATTTCAGAGACGACCAAGTGTTGGGGTCCGCCCTGCCTGGTCTCATGAAACTGTAACCTCCCGTGGCTAAAGCTGAATAAGAGGCCTCTGAACCAGGAGATAGTAAGGAGACAAAACTTATTTCCCTGGCATGAACGCTGCCTGTTCTAATGCCTGGCCCCCAATGTTTGATCAGTTAGCCAATGATGGGTAAGATTTCCCAAGGGGGGAATCGCCTAAGACAGGCAGGCATGATCACATGGAGGCTTCAGGAAAGGACTTGGGGGGCTGTGGAAATGAAGGGGTGATCAACATCGACCCCTGCCCCCTCAGCTTTGACAAAGCCTAAGTCCTTATTCTGGCTGTGAGAAATCCAAGTCTCCTGGGTTCCTTTGTCTCCTCTGCCCAACTCAGGCCTATGGAAATAACAGGGGCAGTACAGCCCAGACCAGAGTCGGCGAACCCCCGGGGTAATCAGGTCTGAGACATAGAATATGCAAAATCCTGTGAGATGTGCTTGCTGGAGGATGCTCTTTAATTAGGATATAAAGGCACAGGCAGGAAATGAAACTAAGCTTCAGGTCCTGTAGTCTTTTTAAATAATAAAACCCCAAAATCTCAGCCCAGAATCCCAGCGGGAGATCTGCCAGCCCCTTTAAAATCTAACTACTTGTTTTATCTTCCCTGTCAGACTGTAATTCACAAACTGTATCAGTATTCTTAATAAAAGCCTGCTTGGGTGGGAGAACAGGGTGATCTCCACTAGAGAGAGTGGCCGTTTCGTCCCTATTTCCCCACAGGACTTGGTTGTCCGTGTGTATGTTTTTCTCGTGTTTCGACGAGCATCTGCAGCAGTGATGGATACTGCTGGCCAGTATCTGCCACAACCAAGAGCTGGGGCAAGGTTGAATGGCATGGTTCACCTCCTACACAAGGCTACTCCCTCAAGACTGGGAGAGGTGATTGCTTCATCTACTTTATAAAAATCACAACAGAGAGAATAGCAAAATGAAGAAACAAAAGTGTATGTTCTAATAAAGAGCAAGATAAAACAGAAATAAAGTAATTTACCTGGTAAAGAGTTCAAAGTAATGGTCATAAATATGCTCACCAATTTGGGAGGAGGGATGGATAAACACAGTTAAGAACTCAAGAAAGAGATGGAAAAATATAAGAAGGTACCAAATATTAATAGAAGTCACAGAGCTGAACACAATGATTGAACGGAAAAATACCCTAGAGAGGGTTAACAGCAGACTAACTGAAGCAGGTGAGAGGATCAGTCACATTAAACACAAGGCAGTGGAATTCACCTAGTAAGGGCATCAAAAGGAAAAAAGAGAATCTTTTAAAAAGTGAAGATAGCTTAGGGCTTACGTGACAACATGAAACAATTGACATTTTCACGGCAGAGGTCCCAGAAGGAGAAAAGAGAGATGGGGAGAAAACCAGTTTGAAGAATAACGGCTGCAAATATCCCTGACTGGTGACGGAAACAGATATCCAGGTCCAGGAAGCCCAAAGAGTTCCAAACTAAGATAAAAGATAAACCCAAGAGACCCAAACTAAGACATAATTGAAATGTCCAAATTTAAAGACAAAGAGGAAATATTAAAAGCAGCAAAGAAAAGCTGTTACATACAAGGGAACCCCAAAAAGACTTTCAGCAGGTTTTTCAGTAAAAACTGTAGGCTAGAAAGGAATGGCATAACATATTCAATGTGCTGAGGGAAAAAAACTGCAGCCAAGAATACTTTACCCAGCAAAGTTTTCATTCAGAATTGAAGGAGGAATAGAGTTTTCCAGACAAGCAAAAGCTAAAGGGGCTCACCACCAGTAAATAGGCTTTAGAATAAATGTTTAAGAGACCTCTTTAAGCTAAAAAGAAAGTGTACTTATATAGTTACAATAAAATTTATGAAACAATAAATCCTACTAGAAAGGTAAATATATAGTTATGGTAGCAAACTAATCATGTATAAAGCCAGTATGAAAATTAAAAGACAAAAATCATAAAAATAACAGTGACTGCAATAACTTGTTAAGAGATACACAAGATAAAAAATGTAAAATGTGACATCAAAAACAAAATATGGGAGGGGGAGAGTAAAAAGTTGAGCTTTAGAGTGGAATCAAACTTAAATTGTTGTCAACTCAGAATATACTGTTATAGACATAAATTGTTATATCTAAGCATTATGGTAACCACAAAGCAAAAACCTATAGTAAATACACAAAAGACAGAGAAAGAAATATAAGTATACCACTAAAAAACTCATCAACCCACAAAAGAAGAGAAAGAAACAGAGAGAAACTACAAAACACTCATTAAACAACAAAATGGCAGTAAGTATATGCCTATTGATAATTACTTTAAATGTAAATGGACAAAATTCTCCAACCAAAAGACATGGAATAGTTGAATGGAGAAAAAACAAAATCTATCTATATGTTGCTTACAAGAGACTCCCTTTGGATGTAAGAACACTGACAGTGAATAAATGGGAAGAGACAGTTCATGCAAATGGAAATCAAAAGAAAGTTGGAGTAGCTATACTTTTATCAGACAAAATAGACTTTAAAACCAAGACTATAACAAGAGAAAAAGATGGGCTTAATAATGATAAAGGGGACAATCCAACAATAGGATACAACATTTGTCAATATTTATGCATTAAATATAGGATCTCCTAAATATATAAAACAAATGTTAACAGACTTAAAGAAAGAAACAGACAATAATACACTAATAGTAGGAGATTTTCATATCCCAATTTTATCAACTGATATATCATCCAGAAAGAAAATTAACAAGGAAACACTGGCCTTATATGACAGCATTAGATT